GAGAGAGAGAGAGAGACTTGGCGGAAACGTGGTGCCCGCGCGGCTGGAATGTTGAGGCGAGGCGGCCGTTGGGGTGGCCTCGCGCGCCCTCCTGTCCGTCAACCGTCTACTGGGAAAGGGGCGGAGCTCCGCTGAGGCCGCTTGGTGCTTATCCTCCCCCTCTTCCTCTGACAGACAGTAGTGTTATGTGCCTTCAGGTCGTTTCCGACGTATGGCGACCCTAAGGCGAACCTAACTTGGGGTTTCCTTGGCAAATTTCTTCACAGAGAGGTTTGCCATTGCCTTCCTCTGAGGCTGAGAGAGTGTGACTTGCCCAAGGTCAAACCCCTGGGTTTACGTGGCCGAGCCAGGATTCGAACCCTGGTCTCCACAGTCATATACTCCAAAAGCACTACATCACACTGGGCCTTTGCAGACTGCTAGAAATAGTGCAAAACCCACTTTAAGGGTTAGGGTTAAGGAATCGTGGGAACTGTATTTTATTGTGGCACCAGAGCTCTCTGACAGAGAAGGCTCAATGTCTCAGAAAAAAAAAAAATCCCATGATTCTCTAGCACTAACCCTAACCCTTAAAGTGGACTCAATTTGCACTATTTCTGGCAGTCTGCAAAGGCCCACTGACTCCGGTCCAAAACACCGGAAATAATCCAGAAATAATGAAGAAATCCAGTTTGAGATTGCTTTCACTGCCCTGGCTCAGTGCTAGGGAATCCTAGGAATTGTAGTTTGTGGTGGCACTACCAGACAGAGAAGACTAAATGTAGTTCCCAGAATTCCCTAGCATTGAGCCACCCTGGTCTCAGGCGTTATAAACCATGATAACTCCCTTGAGGGACGATATTTAAAATAAAATAAAAGGCAGTGTGGAGTAGTGGTTAGTTGGACTAGGACTCTATAGAGACCAGGGTTCAAATCCCTACTTGGCCATGGAAATCAGCTGGGTGACCTTCAAGTCACACTCTCTCAGCCTCAGGGGAAGTCAATGGCAAACCCCACCTGAAGAAATCTTGGAGTAGATAGCTTCGCCTCAAGGTCGCTATGTCAGAAATGACTTGAAGGCACACAACAACAGCAACAGAACCCGTCTCTTTTCCTCAGCAAGCCAAATTACACCACCCAGAGCAGGTCCAAAACACACTGCAGAGAATGTAATGAAACCTATG